TAGTTACCAAAAATAGACCCTGAGATAGGGCCTGTTTAGTGGAGTCATTTTTTTTTGTCTGGCATTTTGAGGGATGAATGTGACTAGTTAGCTGATGAGAATATAAGTGGTTTTAATGCCTGCCTCCTGTTCGAAATGTCCACAGAATGTTTCGCCGGAAAACTCGATTTCGAACTGTGATTACCGTCTGGCGATTTTTCAGTGTTATTTTCACAACAAAACCTTTCGTACTTTCGATTGCCAGACAAAAAGTAAACGCGGAAGGTTCTTTCCTTTTCTCTTGGAAGTTGACACCCGTCCCCATTTTTTCGGCTACTGAAAAGCATCTGATATTTTTCATGGGTGAATTATTTATCAATGTCAATCTTTTATTTAAAAGCTATAAAATTTGAGATCATTAAAAAAAAATTCTTCGTGTAAATCAATTTTTTTCTTCTGCAAATTTTCGAACGGGAGGCCGGCATTAAAATCACCCATATTCTCATCAGCTTAGTAGCCACATTCAACCCTCAAAATGCCAGACAAAAAAAATGACTCCACTAAACAGCCCCTATCTCACAGTCTAAAAGGATGGCTCAACGAGACTCTGTGTGAATGATAGACAGCTAAATGACTCCACGAAAAAAAGAATAGTCTTTTTAAGGTCAGTTGAAACAAGGTGGCCGTCTTTACAGCTGGAAATGGCCAACAATAATTCAACGTTGTTCCGTTTAGAATATGCAATGCACCTACTAGTTTTGCGAGACTAATGAGATCAGTTCTGCCAGGACATGGAAGACATGCTTGGTATACCTGGGATATATCACGGTGATTGGAAAAGATTTCAACGAAGGGCTGTCGAATTTAAGGAAAGTTTTAACGAGGATTCCAGGTGCCAACCAACAGTGGAATCCAAAGAAGTGTGTCCTATTCCAAGAAAAGTAAACTTTCTTGGACATGCGATTTCTTCAGGAAGCACATCCAAAAAAAGTTTAGACGCTACAAGATTGGCCCAGAAATTTTCGGTTTCGACACAACTGTAGAGGGTTACTGACTCGGATGCGATTCGTTGCCCCTGCGAAAAAATAATTTTAAAATTTTATCACTCTATACTAGACTTTCCCCATCCGAACTCTCCCATTTATTGTCCGTCGTTTTTAATCTGATACTTTCCGTATGAGGAGCGAGGGGGTGAAGTGGTGAAGCTTATGGAAAAATAGGTGTGACGTCAAGTGACCATTGGCGTTCTAATGTAAGGAGCCACCAGCTCACATGCCTTTGCAATGGAGTATCATATTAAAATCGACGGACTTTACATCATAAAGCTGTGCTACTTGAACTACCCAGTAGAAGCTTTGGAGGACGTTAACTTGAATAAGAGATCTGTATTACTAAATCTACTATCGTAGGGATGTTGAAAAATGATGAAAAAGATGCGACCTCTGTGCTTCCAAGATGGGACACCAGAAACGATCTGGAGACAAAATAGAGCAGTATCTCTTCTTACAACAGATTCGGACAAGTATCTCATAAAACCCTGGCAAAAGGCAGAGCGCAAGAACCATTGCCATGTTACTTACACAGATGATAATGAAGAGCAAGACTGTTTTACTACTGAAAACTCATTTTCCAATTTCCAGGAATTATACTCAATGATACTGAAGAAAACAACTCGTTTCAATCGTTCAAGTCACCTGGAGTTGACGACATTTTTCCAGCCAAGCTCCAGTTCAACAGAGACCGCTTCATTTGAACTCACTGACTTCAGCAGCCAAATCCCATCTGCGCCTTCTCAGACATAGAGGGGGCATTTGATAACACATCTCATTAGTCAATAAAGAATGCGCTCGTAAATAAAGGAGTGGACAAAACCACATCCACCTGGATGTGTGAAACGCTAGCCAACAGAACTGCAGTAACTGACATGGGTGAACAAACCATACAAGTCACCACAACCACCACAACTAAAAGGTGTCCACAAGAAGGGGTAATCTCACCTTTGATGTGGAATCTAGTGTTTGATGATCTCCTAGATACACTGACTGATCAGGGCTTCACCTGCTTTGGATACGCCGATGATATTGTCATTATAGCCAGCGGCATATACGTAGGAATACTTAGACCTTATAGAAAAAGCACTTCGAACCACGAAAGAATGGTGTGAGGCAGTAAGGCTGAATCTAAACCCAGCGAAAACTACACTGGCAACATTTACAAAAAGAACGAAACTCCCAAACCTTTGAAACATCTGCCTCAATGGAAGCAGACTGGAACCAAAATTCCTAGGAATAACCCTACCTTCTAAACTTCTCTGGAACCGATATGTAGAGAACACAAAAAACAAAGCAATCTCGGCACTCATGGTCTGCAAAAACATTGCGGGTAAAACGTGGGGTTGTAACCCATTAATCTTACGATGTATACCATGATAGTGAGACGGAGCGGTAGCCTGGTATAGCCGAACCCAGCTAGTAATAGCTAGGAAAAGTGCAAAAACTCGCGTGTCTCTGTATAACAGGAGCAATGAGGTCATGCCCAACCGCGGCACTGGAAGTCATCTTAGATCTCACACAGCTCCACATAATAGTGAAGCGGGTTGCCAGTGGAACATCTCTCAGACTGGCGAAGATAGGTTCTCAAGGGAAAATGCACTGTGGCAGAACTTTTCCTCTCCAAAACTGTGCACACCTCATGGATCTACCAAAAGACGTGGTTGTTGATAAATTCAGTTTCGAGAAAAACTTTTCCATCGAACCAAGTACAAAAAACAGATGAAACATAAAATATATCAATCCCTTGAAACAGACACCATCAAATGGTACACAGACGGTTCCAAAACCGCTGAGGAAACTGGAGCCGGAGTATTTGGGCCACGGACTAGATACTTGGAGCCAATGGGAAAATCACCAAGTATATTTCGAGCGAAATTTCATGCGATCGAAAGATGCGTGCAGTTCAACCTGAACAGAAGTTATTGAAAACGAAAGATTGTAATAATTGTCTATCAAAGCATAGAGCTCCACGGTCATCAATTCTAAGATAGTATGGGAACGTCTACAGAAACTCAATGAGATGAGAAAAGAAAACAGAGCAACCTTCCTCTGGGTGCCTGGACACACAGGGGTCGAGGTCAATGAATGCGCAGACAGACTCGCAAGAACGGGAGTGTCTACTCCCTTCACTGGAATGCGCACCTTCAAGAAATCCTCGAAAAGGAAGAAAACCGGCTAAGGAACAAACAATGGCTAGAATAGCCAGGACTAAGATCTACTGGGCAACTTTAAACAAAAAAGATCAGAACTGCTGGTCAACCTTAGCAAGAAAAGTCTGAAGACTCTAACCGGGTTTCTCTCGGGACATTGTAGACTTGAGAAACACCTACAGAAGAATGTGGCACCAGCAGATTCTGTGGAGACGGAGAAGAGACACCTCACCATCTACTGAAATGCGATGCCGTTAGTCGCTCAAGGATGAAGAGCCTCGGAAGTCCCTCCATACAGTTGGAAGACATTCCCAGCTCATTGCTATTTCTCAAAGTAGCCAGAAGTAGTTCCTATTTCCAGTCAAGAAATGGTTACAGTTGCTAAAGCAGTACCGGAAAAAAACTATGCCAGGCACGGGGTTAACAGTTTCAAAAGGGGGAAGTGTTATAAATCTCTAAAGTTGGCCACAATCCTACAACACTGCTGGATGACTAGAAAATTCGCGAGGAATTTTACCGATAATTTAGACGGCTGGGTGTCAAGAATTAGTAAGTGATGAAGTGAACGCTATTGTGTGCTGTTATAATTTAGTTTCGTTGTGATTTTTGTGTTTTTGTGAACCAACTTGCGTTATAATATATAAATTATGAACATATAGATCCTAGAACACAACAATAAATTACAGTACATGAAAAAAAATTAAAAATAATATTGAAATATTTATTTAACTTTGCTGCAACAAATGTTTCAGAAAGACACAATACATAATTGTTTTGTGTATTCCTCCAATAATAAGCAATAAAAACTATTTGTGTTACATGACACAAAAGCGTTTTAGTAACATGGAATAATTAAAATAAATATATCTATACAATAATTATTCTATTGGCGTGCTTTGCCTACATAAAAAGTCATTGATGATCTTTTGCTAAAATTTATTTCACTTGCTAAATTAGCTTTAAAAATAGAATCTAAACAACGAAAAATATGATATAATTTTTTTTTTAAAGCTTTCTGGTCCGAAACAAACAATAATTATATTGAATATAAAACGTAATAACAAAATTGCATAGAAAATATAGTTTCATAAAGCAACTGTAAAAAAAAAGTTAACATTTGACGCATTGCGGTTTTCCTTCGGATACTTGGAACGATTGATCTTTAGAGATGGGTTTCTCGCATTTCTGTAAAAAAAAAAAGAAAAAAATCCAAAAATGTTGACTTTGTCTCAAAAATCAGGGTGCCAGGGGGTACTTCACGGGTCTACATCACGGAGGATCTACAGTCTACATCACAGAGGCCTATTGACTCTTCCTTTGCTGGCTTCTTTTTTAATTTATTTTGTTAGTGACAATAGTGAGTTTTATTTGAACAAATAAATGTTTGGTTAAAATTCTTAGCAAGAATATGAAAGTTTAGAAACGATATTGTTCTATACTTTCAGTGGACAGTTATTGTTAATTGACAACAGAAAACATGCTTTTGTATGACATATTTATTTTGAAAAAGTTGATATTAGGGGTTAATAGACAACATCTAACAACAAATAAAAAAGTTAAGAAAATAGTATCTGAAATAGGAAAATTGAGAAATTGTTATAAAAAAAAAGAAAATGTGCGGTTTAATAACACAACAAATAGGGCTAATTCTTGATTTGAGAGGGTTTTAATTTAATCAGAGGGTAAAGTGGGACTCAAAAAAATTTGTTGGTGGAAGAAAGTCTAATAGTTTTTACTTGACATGAATGAGAATTTACAAAAAACTATTATTCTCCTTCCATTATATATTTTTTTAAAATAAATTCAAATCAACACTTACCGAGCATCTGAAGCACATCTGATGCCACTTAGCATCCAAAGCCACCACGGCTTTGTCAGCAATAGGCTTGGAGCAGCCCTTGCAACGGTCAGCATGCTTAGCTAAGTAGCATTTTTGACAGAAGGGAGCGCCCTTGACGTCCATGAATTGTTGACCAATCAATTTGGATTTGCAGTTTCCGCAAATGAAGTGGTCCTCGTGCCAGTTGGCGCCCATGGCTTGCACACATTTCTAAATTAAAACATTTATTGTTACATGGTCAAATCGATTAGTTCATGGAACAATTTAGATTCTTACATCCAAAATTGGTTCGTCGCAAGCATGGCAAGTCTTAGCGAACAACTTAATGTGACAGGCCGAGCAATAAGGCTTTTCTTCGTTGGTGTGGAACTTGGTTTCCCTGATGGGTTCCTTGCAACCTTCGCAATTGAAATGTTCCGGGTGCCAGGACTGACCCATTGCGGTCAGGATGCTCTAAAAAGCGCGGTTAGCGATGCATAGGATTAGTTGGTTAAGCGCAAAAAGTAAAATCTATAATACTTTATTACAAAAACGATATATTTTTTAAGGCACTCTGTACTGTTATAGTTTAGTGTGAAAATACTCAAAAATGGCAGGACTATGGGATAAGAGGTCCAGATAACCTAACTCTTATAGAGAAAAAACGTATTTTTTCAAAAATAATCCTTATTATTAGGTACACAAAATTCATGTTCTGCACACACAACACCAAAAAAAATTTAAAATATAACGTCTACTTACGCCTTGGATGTTTTCCTTGCATTGTGCGCAGACTTTGGGTTCGGTAGATGCTGTAGAGCTCTGGAAAAGAAACGAAATATCAAATAAATTATCTAAAATTCGTGTTTAAAAAAATTGGTACCATCTTAATGCAATGTTGAAGCACCATTGAATAGATCTTAATAATTTATCTTAATGGAAAAAAAAGGAAACTTAGTACATTTTTCAGTAATTCAATTAAAGCGTTTTGCTGTCAAATTTCTTTGGGATTCAATTCTTTTCGCAAGTAGGTAAATGATATTTGAGGAAATATGAGCAATATTACATTTTATACCATATAATTTGTAATGAAACATACCATTTTTTTTTTGCTTTTTCGTACGAGACACTTTATAACAATTTTTCAGAAATTTGACTTTGACGCTACCGGCCCACTGTCACCAGCAGACAATTCTATTACTCGGAATTGTTTGCTTGTGATAAAGGAAACCCAGGTGAAACAGGCGCCGCGAAAACGCAAACAATTTCCTGCGAACAACAATCGATTTTTTTGCTATTTTCAGCATCTGATTCATCATAAATATTAAAACGTTTCGGAGCCAGCCTGGCTCGAATTTCTGCTGTAACTGGTACGAGATAAGATGTTTTCAAGGTGGGCTATAATAGTTATACCTTGATAGGTGCAACTAGGTGAAACCAGGCAATGCTCCTGGCATTGCAGAGATTTTTATTTTTATAAAACTTTGTCTAAGCCGTGTTCATCCCTAACAACTAAACAATTATATGCCCACAAAAAGGTGAAATTAAGAAAATTATTTGAGAGTTTTTGAAGTTCTGATTACAAAAAATGTATTCATCCTGTAAGAATTAATTCTTAAAACTCCCGTGTTTTGCGTGACTTCTCGTAAGGAGGATGATGTTGCTGCAGTATTCAAGTTACCTGATATTCCGTGAAACGCGAAATAAATCGTTTTGTTTATTGGCACATTTTATGTCTTACAAAGATTAATTAAACAGGGGGTTGCAATTTTAGAAATTTGTCGGTGAACTTTGTTCTAATAATAATTGCTGCATATTTTTTCCATTGCATATTTCTTCTCTTATACACATATGTGTCTCAATTTTCCTCATGGAAACTTTTGGCTTCCCCAGATTGTAGCCTGAATATTTTTATCTTGCTCAAAATAAGGCGATTCGTCAATAGCCAGGTGCGTGTGGTAACAGGGATGTAGGTACCGGGTGATTATGTATATTTTGCACCCACACCTATCTCACCTGTTTGAAGAGATACCCAGAAATGTGAAATATGAAAGTTGTAATTGATATCAGAAACTTTGCAATGAAGTTAGTTACAAGTATACAGGGTGTGTAACAAAAGTGTGGCGGAGCAAAGTTATACTTTTTCAAATGAAGCACCTCGTATATTTTTGACCCATTGGATTGGCCTTGCAAACCTGATTCCAAATATACTAGTTTTTTTAGGTTTATTCCTCATAGTCCAGCTTCTGAATATGCCATTTTGAAGGAATAATATGGATTTTTTACTTGAATGATTACCTTTATATTTTGCTGGTGGACTCTATACTTCACCTTTTCAATAAAAATGCAATTATTCCACCCATTTTTTTCTCATTTTCTTCCGGACTATTAGGAAGAAACCTAAAAAACCTAGTATATTTGTAATCAGGTTTGAAAGGCTGATCCATTGGGTCAATAATATACGGGTTGTTCTATTTAAAAAAGTTTAACTTTGCTTTGCTACACTTTTGCGATATACCCTGTATACTTGTAACTAACTTCATTGCAAAGTTTCTGATATTATCTACAACTTTCACATTTGACATATCTGGGTATCTCTTCAAACAGGTGAGATAGGTGAGTGCAAAATATAGACAATCACCCGGTACGCGATCCCAGGTGCATAACGTAATAAATTCCATCAGCTATTTGAACACTGCCACAAATAATTTTGCCGATGCTTTGAATCATTTTAATTTAGTTTTTGAAGCTAATGAATGTTTTCTGGAATATTTTGGCGTAAACAATTCTAAAAGTAAAATTAAATAAAGGTCGCGCCTGAGTGCGTCAGGCTTATTTATTTTATCTTCAGTATAGTTCTCGTAACGTTAGTCTATCTATGAGAATAAAAACCACGCGTAGGCATGAAGGTGGACCTAGATGGACAGGAAGACATTCTAGACATCATTCATTTGACAGTCATAGAGATACTGAGCATGTGGATATTTGGGATGATGAAGATGATTACCAGTATAGTATAAATGGGAACCTAGGATCTGGAATATATTATTTGCAAAGACATAAGGACTATGAAATACGTAGTACTACTGGTAGTAGGGATATGGGAAATAATATACAGACCAGACCAACCTTCTAGACACAAGGGAGTGATAAAATGAATTAGCTTGTACCCGGTCGCATCTGAACATTCCGGTATAGGATTCGGCACCTTGGCATATTTCATTGGTCCGTTTGAATTCGGATCGCCAATTAACGCGGTGAGCCGAAATCCGTACTTCAATGTTGAACGGTGCTGGGCCATCAGGTCGAAATGGTTCAGTAACCACAGCCATGTAGAGTGCCGAATCTAAGGTCAAAATGTTAAAGAGTGCTGAGCATCAGGCCAGAATGTTGCCATGCGTTTGGCGGGGTCTTTATAATAAATCAGCTGTCCGCTCCCTTGACCCCCATCGTGTTTCTCGCTACAAATTACAATTGAAAAAGAAAAAAATCGCAAAAAACGGCAAAAGAAAAAGAAATTTAGCTGTAGCAGTCAAATCTAATCAACCTGACGCCAAATCACATGGCATGAGGCATGGGCATGGGCTCCAATAATTGTCTAAGATTTTTGAAATGTTTCGTTCAAATAAAATAAATGCTTACCTATATGTGGCAAAAAGTAAATAAAATTTATGTTTGTTAATTTTTGTTCCGCGCTGACAGAGCAACATTCCAACCTGCAGCTGGGCACTGTTTAACATTTTGACCTTAGATTCGGCCGGCACTCTACATGGCTGTTGCTACTGAAGCATTCCGACCTAATGCTCAGCACTATTTAACATTCAAGTACCGTAAAGTCCCCTAACTTTGACTGTCCCCCTAACATTGACCAAAAGATCATTAACTGATATAATGCACATTAAAAAACTGTGAATGTTATATTGCTGGCGATTTCTACCTACAAACAGTTAGTCTAATGTCTAATAACCAATACTATCCCTCGTGGAGAGCAAACAAAATATAATCAGGAGTCATCATTACTCATAGTGAGTATCCTGTTATGTATGTTCGCAAATGCATGTGTTACTTAGATTTGGCGTTAACACTTTATTTAGAGTTCAGGGAATTTTTTCAAAGTTTTCTAACCTATTTTTTTTTGCGTTCTTAACTTTGACCACCGGTCATTTCAAATGATTTGGAAGTTGGAGTTTCATTTTTACGAAATAGAAAGTTGATTTTTTTTCTGGCCAAACGTAGTGGATCAATGGATTATAGAAACAGAGCAGATAGTTATGAAACTAAAGAATTCTTCAAATAGAAATCAGGGGTTATTTTTTGAAGAACTTCTTCTCAATCCTCTAGAAATAGAGTGAAATTAACAAGTAAAAATTAGCTAGGTTAGGTATAGGTTTTTTTTAATGTGTTCTGTTTCACACCAAAGAATAAAAGGTTTATTTTATTTGCAATATTAGATTTATGAGTGATAATATGCAATTTCAGCGGATATAATGCAACTCACTGATTAGAAACAAAAAAATATGTTATTTCTGTTAGAATTTTAGTTAAAGTTGATTAGATAATAACATTTTGATAATATGTCTTCGACTTTTGGAGAAAGAATAAATAAATGAGTTAAAATGTTGTAGTTTTCTTATTCCTAACTCGATTTTTATGATTTTTATAGCCTTAGAAATTTTTTAAAAACATTTTTAGTGGTCAATCTTACTCTGTGAGGCTGTAACATTAGTTTATGTCAGTTTTTAGATCGGTGGTCAAAGTTACCTTCCCAGGTCGTAGCTTTGACCACCTACATTTTTTTTTTTAAAAACCGGTCTGTGTTGATGGAACCAAAAATATTATTCCATGTCTCTATAATATCAGGTACAGCCCCAATATTGGCACTTTTGTTTGATTTTTGTCGCCTTCAAGTAATGCAATATTGCAGTGTAAAGTTGAAAACCGGTCAAAGTTATGTCACTTTACGGTACGGATTTCAGCTCTCCAGATGCTACCCGGTCTCAGAAATTCGAGGCGGTACTGCCGAAGCTGAGTACAGCCGAGGATACACGAATTTTATCATTCCACTGGTCCCAGTGAAGCCTATGGGTCATATGCATAAAACACTAGCATATTATGCTTTTGCTTTAGTTTTTGAGATAAACATATTCAGCTTCAATGCACCAAAAAGAGATGGGGGTAGAGTAATAGTATATTACATACCGAGTAGGGAAGTGTTTCATTACTGTCGAGAGATAAGCGTCGAGATTGACTATTAATCTCGAGACAGAAATGAAAACTTTCCTCCGAGGTTTGTATACTATTTTATTTGCAAGCACACCATTAATTATGATTATTCATTTAATTTTTTTAATAATAAAAAAATAAAACAAACATGCCAAAATCTGTCATTCACTGTTTTGACGTTTTTACCTGACAGGTTCTGATTGTTCCCAGCAAAGGTAAATAAATTAGATTGAAGGAAATCGGTGAGGGAAATCGAAGAGGGCAGTGACACAGGTAAAGTGACACTTCCAAATTTTTAAAAAGTCAGTAATGTCAAGATTACATTTATAATTGCAAATAATAGTAAGTATATTACATACCGAGTAGGAAAATGTTTCATTACTGTCGAGAGATTCATATAGTCTATCAATCTCGAGACAGAAATGAAAACTTTTCTCCGAGGTTTGTATACTTTTTTATTTGCAAGCACACTAATAATTAAAAATTAGTACGGCTATTTGCACCGCCACAACTTAAGGGATATTTAATCCCACTGGAGCTTAGAATGTGACTCTTGTAGGAACAAAAATCACATTCAAAGCTCCACTTAAATCAAATAT